ATGGATGCAATTCGCACGCTATATACGCTGTGTTTGTGTCCAATTGTATTAATTGCTGGACGAGTGGATACAAACACACATGAATTATAAGAGGCAGTGATTGTTGTAAACAGTTTTCTTATAAAAGCCATTAATATTCTAGTCGTAAAATATGTAAAAATTGCAAATTAAACTATACATTTGCATGAAACAATGATTATGGTTAGTTTGCTGACCTGTTTGCCCTGGTGTTCAATCTGGAAATTCTTGGCGGACTCCTGAGTGACTCTCCCGCCGAAGTCGAGTTGATATACTTGGCTCACTTCGTTCCAAAGCGGGGCCTTATTGTGGAGCACAAACTCGCGGTAAGAGACGGGCGGCGTCTCGTTGTGAGGCGACTGTGGCTGCGATTCGTTGGGTTTGACGCGACTGTTGCGTCGCTTCACTTGGAATTTCCTCCGGAAGTGTCTCTTCTGGAAAGTCTCCAAATTCTTGTACTCCGAAGACGTGTCCAACTCTTCCTCATCGCTCGTGTTCTCCGACTCTGAACTGCAGTCCAAGTAATTTAGCCTAAAATCACATACATTTACATTAAACACATTATAAGACATTTTCATTGATTTATGTAAATTTGCTATTTTTAGGTCATTTGAGTTCATATCACACAAAAATTTACATTTTCCTTATAAATAGAAACTATAATTGAATTTTCTTCACATTTTAAGAATTGTATATTATTTTTAAACAAATTTTATTTTTAAATTGGATTCTATATAAAAGCCTGATATAAGTGCTGTGGAATTTAGTGATGATTTACTGATATATTATAATATGTATTGAATATATGATATAATATATACAGTAATTTGATTTTCTCATTTGCTTCAAGAATTCATTTATTAACATATAATACAAGCGCTAATGGATTGTAACATAAATTGAATTTTAATGAAAAGTTATGCCTATATTTGATTATCTAATAGTCGAAGCGTATGAGTCGTGCGAACGAAAAATAAGTAAAACTAATTTTATTACCAAAAACAGTGTTATATTGAGTGCGAGAATACATCAAAAACTATATAACGGTAATAATTGAGTGAATAAAAGCCTATTATATGTAAAGTGAGAATCGCATTGAGATTAACGATAAGAATCGTGTGTAAGAATAACATAATGTATTCATTTGGGACTCACTTTTGTTTCATAACTTTCCTTAACATCATAGGGCTGTAGAGGAATGACTTTCCCTGCGAAGTGCGGCGTCGACTTTGCGGCCCCGACAGCAGCGGTGACGCCGGAAGGCTTCGGTTACTGTTGATTAGTGCCGCGGCTGTGGTTATGGCACTTGTGCTGGTGGTGGACGAGATGGTGGGTTCGGTTGGGATAGCACTGGCACTGTTGGCAGCGCTCGTACCGGCCATTATCATAGCCTGGGGTAGACTCGCTCTGTGCTTTTGAAGCCGTGAGAGCGCACTATGATATTTGGTTGGCGTGTAGTCTATGGTGGCGGTGGTTGTGGTGGTGTTTGTCCTTATCTTATAACTATGTTTATTAGCTTCCGGTGCTCTCGTATTAGAGTGTATCGCACCTTCCGTTTGCATATCACTACTTATTAAGTCTATATTATTCACATATTTGGATGAATTGTTTTTAGTGTTGCCCTTAAACTCTGATGAGGGCTCACGTATAGGCGCCGATGGACTCGGATTGTCTGATATTGTGCCGGAAGTAGTGGTGGACGAGCATTGGCTTATAGTTGATGTCTTTGGCTGCCATTGACTGCTATATTCTGTGCTCTTATTAACGATATTATTCTCAAAAGTTTTACGATTATTATGAGTGTTATTATGAATGAATTGAGTATTAATTTTACACTTATTTTGCTTTCCATCAGTAATTATGGTAGAAATGAATGAGTCTTTGGTGGAGTAGTCCGTGTCCTCATCGTCTTCGGACACGCGTTCATCCTTTTCCTCAAAAGATCGCGAATTGTTTGAAACGGATTTGTCGGACGAATCGGTGGACGCATCGAAACTATGGCTTTGTTTCGATGCTTTCAATGTTAACCGTCGCTGAAGTGTATGACTGGTCGGAGCGCCGAATGGGTGGCCACCGGTGCCGCTGTCAGCCGTACCGCAGGCGCGGACATTAGTGAACTCACTGCCGGCCACAGCAGTGGTGGGCTGTATGTGACATATGGGACGGGTGGTTGTCTTTTGAAACACTTGCGCCGAAGTGGCCACACGTGCGCTGCCGTCGGGACTCTCTTCGGCGTCAAAATCGTCAATATATCGGAAGTCATTTGCGATAATTGACTTGGAATCGATAGAAAGGGTGTCCGTAAGGCTACTATTGCAGTGAAGCAGCGATAGTCCGCCCCAAGTGTTGGCGCCGACCGATACCGGCGACGACGAAGACGTTACAAAACTAGAACCCATTGTCGGAAACCGGCGCTGACCTAAAGGACTCGACAGAAATGCTTTGGCGGCACTCGTATCACAGCTACGGCTTTGGGCCGTCAGGTCTGACTCTATACACGAGACACTGGACTTTCGCGGCGACTCCTTCTTTGTTATCTTATATCGGAGTCCTTTCGGTGGAGACATGTTTGCGGCCGGCGGTGAGTCCGTAGCAGCGCCGGTAGTGGCGGCCAAATGTGAGTAATAGATATCACTGTTAAGGCTTATGAGTGCCGGCGACGAGTGCACAGACGGCTCAGCGCACGGTTTGCTGCCGTTATTGACGCTATTTATGTTGTAATAACTGACCGGCAATTCGGCGGCGAAACGTTTGGCAAATCGATTGACCGTCTCTTCGGGTGTCGACGTCTGGACGCCGTCTTCGATGGACTTATTTTCGATGAGCGGTGAGAACAATGTTTGCGTATTCTTCTCCAGTGTTGTCAATGAGTTCAACAAATCAGTGATCGACTGGAATGAGGTCTGTGTGGAAATGGATGCGGCGTTTGTTTGCAACGGTTGGACAGCGCTGTTGACGGCCGACGAGGGCTGGTGTGGGGCCGACGGACCGCTCAACTCCATACTGACGTAATGATTGTCACCATTTATCTGAAGAGTCAACATCTCTTCGGCACATGTGTTATAACAGTCGGACGTATTGGCGGAAGAGGACGATTGGCCAGCGGTGGACCCCTGGAACTGATAGGTGGGCCTCTTTTCGGGAGATATCGTACGACTTTGTCCGCCAAATAGCGTTCCGTTTGGACACCGGATGTTCTTCTTGGGTGTCATGGGAGCGATGGGTGCGCTGACGCCCTCGTCGTCGCCCATCATGTAAGACATGGCCGTCTCGTCCTCGGAATCGCTGGAAATGAAGTTATTATTGGTTTCAAACTTATTAATAGACGTGAGACTAGTGTCGAGTCGTTTTTCGCCCAACTCTTTGATGGATAAAGTCATTTGTCGTGGCTGTAGGTGCAGAAGACTGGTCCGGTAGGTGATTGAGCCCAATTGGGAGGGCAGCCACGCCGACAGTCCCAATACCTTGAATTTGGTGCCCCATATGTTGGAAGTGACTAAAACCAGTTTTTCCTGTTCTGGCATTTCGTCCGCGTATTTGTTGGTCGAACCGCCGGTACTGTTGGACGTGAGGGACGTATTGGACGACTCATTGCTTCCTCGGGAGCGGAAGTGACGGCGAAAGCGACGCCTTCTGCGCAAAGATGGAGACCGAGCGGATCCGCCGCCAAACGGGTCGTCGCACTCGCTGTCCGACGACGTGGCGTAAGGGGTAGAAGTGGTCGAACCCATACCCGAACCCCCGCTTTGGCCATACGTTTTGCTATTATTTTTAGTATTGTTTGTTTCGCTAAACTGTGGATCAAATATAATGAATTCGGGTTTCAATTTCGAGGCCCGTTTGCCCTTCAGAATGGGCACGAGTCCGCCCAAGTACTCGAGGTATAGTATATAAGTGGTACTACTGGTGAGGTAGTCGTCTTCGTGTCTAATCATTGTGCAGTGAAGTCGTGTGTTGTTGTCGGGAGGACTGGAGACAAAGTCACGCAAATGTGTCAGATCTGGTAAATAGCACTGAAGGGTAGGGTTGAAGAGATTGGCGACACATGACTGGAGCCGTTGAGGGAGCGGCAACTCGTCGGTCGAGCGCTCGCTCTTCAGACAGTTATAAATGGATAGTTTGGACAACAACTGCAACGATGGGATCCGTTTAGTGATCCACGCGATGTAGAGGACAGGGCCGGCGGCTGTGAACAGACGTTTGTCCGAATGACCCCAAGTGATGGCTGTAATCGGGTATTGAGTGCACTCGAGCTCAGTCTTCAGCCGCAGAATACCGTTATATGTGTAGAATTGGACGACATTTCTATACGTGAAGACTCGGTCTCCGCTGGGATTGTTGGGCGGCGGCGGACGCGAGTCGCGGATCTGATGGCCGGCGATGGCCAGTATCTCGCCGTTGTTGGACCACTCGATCTTTGTGGACAAGAGTCCGGTGCGGATAATGATTGGGAAGATATCGTCATAATTTTGCATTATATAAATAGTGCCGTCGATGAACGTGACGGCCAGACAATAGGACTTCTCGGCCGCGGCGGTGGACGACCCGTCGGTCCCACCCGTAGTAGTGGTAGTGGTGTTGCCATTAGTCGTCTCACCACTCGTTGTCTTATTGTTGTTGTTATTATTGTTGCGGTTCTGTTGGTCTTCTTCGGAGTCATCCATTTTGAACTTCTCGCACGACCACGACATGTGTGTTATGGCTATACCCTCCTGGATGGACACCTGTGCCACCATTGTACCATGCACATCGATCACTACATTATCAACGATCACAATCATATATTATTAGATACTTTAGTGGATTAGATGTATCATTAATATTGATTAAACTCGTGGTTCTGTTTGTAAAAAGCATTAACGTATGAATTCTATGGTAAGAATTTGATTAATTCATTGGCAGAATATTCTTTGCGATAATATATTAAGATTATGGTTATATCACTACAATTAATTTGGTTGCTTTCTGTTCAACTGTCTAATGAATTCATGTGATAAGTTCACACATTTTAATAATATTATACAAATACATACTGTATTGTAATTTGTTAACACATTCAACATTACGAAAGTCTATTGAATTTATAAATTATAAGTTTTACAATACGTCTAAAACCCCCTAAAGGTCTAAACATTCATATCTGGCGTTCATTAGATATAAATAATAAGTAATTGAAATTAAACATTGAATTCAAACACGAAAGCAATTTATCAAAACGTAATAATCGAGTTATGAATATACCGTTGAATTAAATTATATTTCACACAATATATTTAATTGTGAATAAGAGCTGATCATAAATTCAATGCCACAGAGAATGAAATGATAATGAATTGCCATTTCTATAGAGAGAGTTATTTTTGGTCGAAATACAAACAAATTTCAGAAAATAGTTATCAATTTCACAGAAAATTCTACCAAAATTTATTCAAAAGGTTTTGTTACGAAACAATTGAAATATAATATTAGATGTAATTCATCACAAAAACTAATATACCGTATAATATATGGAAAAATAGTTGTATATTTGCTTAATTATCTATCACTGGGTTATATCAACAATTTATATTCACTATTGAAGTATAAACCGATCCCAACAGTTACTATCCAAGTAATTGATCCTATAATACAGTGTATAATTCATTCTTTATTTATCCAACTATAAGACAGAATATTCTTATATTTATTTAGCTTTTATGTATTGAGAATAAGAGTACAGAGAAATATTTACAATAAAAACACACACAAACTTTTAATGAATATTTACATTCAATAGTCAGTAGTCATAATTGAGTTAAAAAGTAATAGCGAGAGAGAGAGAGAGAGAGAGAGAGAGAGAGAGAGAGAGAGAGAGAGAGAGANGAGAGAGAGAGAGAGAGAGAGAGAGAGAGAAAGAGAGAGAGAGAGAGAGGGAGGGAGAGAATAGTTAGTAGAGATTGGTATGTAATACTACACACAGAATGGCATTTAACTTAATTAAATTTGCTTTGTTTTTGTCATTATATGTGATTCACAACAGTATATCGCAAAACAATCCCGAATAACGACAGAATCGGAATACAATCAACAAAAAAGTGGTGAAAAACAAAAGCAATTAAAGGTATTCGGAGTGAAAATTATAAATAATAAATATTAGCGAATAAATGTATGAATGAATGAAACGATTTGTGAAAATGCCGTAAATATTTGACAAAATTCTCGCAAAAATGGATAAACTAATCAAAATATTCTGGTGTTTCCCTTTGTGTGCTTAAAATCTGTTTGAGATTTTAATTAAATAATTTCAAGAGTAAATCAATTCATGTAAACGTTTAAATATTTATGAGAAATCGTTAATTAAAATCCCACACATAATGATAGAGAGCTTTTAATTCCTAATGAATATTTCAAACCAAATCCTTACATAATATCCAAACAAAACAAAAGCAATCAATTCAAACGCATACCTAATATATGGCCACTCGATGTGCCGAATATGACATTCTGGTCATCGGGAGACCAAATGCCGCAACTGATGGTACAACTGTCCAGATTGAGCATTGATGACCAGTACCGCTGACCACTGACCGACCCGACGAGTACGAAGCCGTCCATATAGCAGATGAGAGCCATCCGGCCGTCGTGTGACCACGAAAAGTCGGTCACCTGAGTGTTGCGGTCGTTGATCAGTTCGATAGACCACCGGCCCTCGTATTTGATCCACACAAATATGATGCCAGTGCTATCGCACGAGGCCAACTTCTGGTACGGTTCGTTCCACTTGACCAAGGTCACTTCGGACCGATGGCCGCGCAGGTTATAATTGGTACGGGCGGGCAGATCCTGGGCCACTATATTCTTACGGCTACGGCTGGTGGTGAACGTGACGCCAACGATGCCACGGGTGTTGCCGCACGCGAGCCACCCGTCCTGGTAATAGTTGGTTCGGTTCAGTTTCCATCCCTCCTCTTCGGTGGTCTGGAGGAGACCGTCGGGCACTTTACCCATCCATGACAGCGACGAGAGGGTAGAGTCCGAAAAGGACGACGGCTTCTGAATGCGTTCAAAGTGTAAATGCATTTTCGCTTTCACTACACTTTCTATTGATATCGATATTCAGTGATGTATAGCAATCAGTTGTTGTGTATCCAATGGATCGCATGTTTAGCTGATATTAATATTATTATTTGAGTCGATATCAGTAATAATAACTTGTTTTACGTTTGATTGAATGAGAGAAATATAAAAAATAAACCAAATTATTAAACTCTATACAAGTTTTGTCTCTCAAAGCGATAATCCAAAGTTGTTTTGACATATTATTGCCAATAATGGACAGGTGTTTACAGATAAGTTGGATTCTGACATGAAATGCGATTTTTATTATTATTGAATAACTTATTGGATATAATTTGTTGCTGTTTTAGATCAATGCTATTTCACACTCGCTTTTAGTGACAGATTCAATACAATTCACTTCTTGGACGACATCAACAGCGAAGTCAATACAATGTCCGATAGGATAGCTATTAGAATATAAAGCACATCAATATAATATTATTCACAATAATTGGATAATTTTAAGCATCAATTTCTTTATAAACAAAAGTTATTTTAAGGAATAATTTAAAGTGTATTTATATATAATGTATATAATGGTAAATACGATGGTATTATTAAACAGGGTGTTCACCACAAAAACAAAACACATACAAACAGTGAGAGTCTGTGTCTGTGCGCTGGCATTGCATAAAACATGGACTAACCATCTCTTCACTCAAAGAATATATTTATATATAGTTATCGATTGGATTCAACTCTCTTTCGTACAATATATACAATCTATGCTATAGTGAAGGCATAGACTGTACGATAAATGGGAACAGAAATATCTATTATATACTGTATGTATGCATACATAGATGTATAATACTGTACACTCGCATACGTACAGTATATATCCTTTCAATATAATGCTAACTATTCGTATAGTCAGTCAACTTAAACAAAATAAGATGAGAGAGAGAGAGAGAGAGAGAGAACACATCTGTGAGATGAGGAGAGAAGAATAGTGAAGGGAAAGAGTGAGGGTTTGGATCAATAAAAAGGTCGGGCCTATAAAGTTAAATCCATTACATACAGGTCTACTTTTTGTAACATTTTACTCGTAAAACGACTCAAAATGCAGCCATTGATTAATATTTGAATAAAATCTGATTTAAAATCATTCAGTCATTCATTTCCATTCAATTCATTTATAGATTACAGAAATACTGTTGAATGACATTTGGCGGCGAATCCTCTTTTCAATAGCATAATAGGATTGGGAGAGAGAGAGAGAGAGAGCGTTTAGAGCATGTATGTGTATGTAATGGATTTAACTTTATAGGCCCGACCTTTTTATTGATCCAAACCCTCACTCTTTCCCTTCACTATTCTTCTCTCCTCATCTCACAGATGTGTTCTCTCTCTCTCTCTCTCTCTCTCCCAATCCTATTATGCTATTGAAAAGAGGATTCGCCGCCAAATGTCATTCAACAGTATTTCTGTAATCTATGAATGAATTGAATGGAAATGAATGACTGAATGATTTTAAATCAGATTTTATTCAAATATTAATCAATGGCTGCATTTTGAGTCGTTTTACGAGTAAAATGTTACAAAAAGTAGACCACAATTAATGGATCAAAACGTTGACGAATATATTATAATGAATATTATGCCCTAAAAATATATACATAATATATAGAGAGAAACACTTACTCATTTATTTGCAAATTTAACTGTAGTAGGAAATGGGCCGGTATACACACAAAACATTTTGACGTCAGTCAACACAATGTTCTCAAATATGGCTAACGAGAAAGCAATAGCACGTCACCCGAGCTGGGATTCCGAGGCCGGAGTACCAACCCTTATCCCTCAGATTCCTATTTTACCCTTAAAATCTGCTCGATTGATATATAATATGATATAATTGATCATCAATTACATTGATATTTTAACTAAATGTTCTCTCAAATGAAATTGTCACTACTGGAGATTGTCAAAGACACTACAATACAACATTTCATACTATTTTCTCAAAAACATTATTTTTACTGAGGTCGAAATGGTTTGTGTGTATACCGGCACCTTTCCTACTTTCTCAGAGCAGAAAATTTGAGCAGAAATGTTTGAGCTTAATAATATACTGTATTCTCCATAATATTTTATAATATAAATATTACTAATATAATATTATATTCATATATTCTCAACACTACTACTAATACTACTATTAAATCAAAATTACTTAATTTTTTTGATCGATTTTTCAATAAGAACTATTAATAATAAACATAAAAAATAATGTATTTTTATAAACAATTCATAAGAAATATCGGCAATAAAATACAGTTTTCAAGACTGGAAACACTTAAATTGTAGAGAAATAATTGTTTTATTTCTACTTCTCATTCATTTTGCATTTATTTCACATTTATATTTAGATTTTTCTTGTTTTGTATTTAGTATTATTCACTGGAAATCTAAAATACAATTTGAAAAATAATACAAAATTTTGAGTTTAAGAAGAAAATGGTTCTTAAATTTCAAACCATTAGCTAAAGTGAATCGAAAGCGAGAGAGAAAA